CATGCCTGGCTAGTTTAAAAAAAAAAAAAAATTTTAAAGACAGAGTCTCACTGTGTTGCTTAGGCTGGCCTTGAACTCCTGGGCTCAAGTGATCCTCCTGCCTCACCCTTGTAACTAACTGGGACTACAGGCATGCATCACCACACCCAGCTACAATACATTTATAAAACAATGTTTTTTTCTTCAATAATAAATTAACCTAGCTGGATGAAGTGTTGTGCCCCTGTAGTCCCAGCTATTTGGGAGGCTGAGGCGGGAGGATTACATGAAGTTTGAGGCCAGCCAGGGCAACATAGTTGAGACCCTGTCTCTAAAAATAAATGAAGTCCTGGTTTTAATCATTAACCTCAGCTTACTGTATTTTTTTTTAGCTTTATAAGCTTAAATTTTTGAAAAACTTTTTGGCCTTTGTAATTACACTTAATTTCAAACACAAACACATTGTATAGCTATATAAAAATATTTTCTTTATATTCTTATTCTATAAACTTTTATCTATTAAAAATTCTTTTTGAGATGAGATCTTGTTCTGTTGCCCAGGCTGGAGAGCAGTGGCTACTCATGGGTGCAGTCATAGCATGCTGCAGCCTGGGACTCCTGGGCTCAAGGGATCCTCCTGCTTTAGCCTCCTGAATAGCTGAGACTACAGGCCTCATGACTATGCCAGCAAATTTTTTAAAAAAAACTTTAAAAATGTTTTTGTTAAAAATGAAAGCACAAACCCATTAGCCTAGGCCTAGGGTCAGGGTCATACATATCACTGTTTCCACCTCCACATGTTGTCCCACTGCAAGCTCTTCAGGGGCTGGGACACACATGGAGCTGTCATCTCCGGTGATAACAACACTGTCTTCTGGATACCTCCTCAAGGATCCGCCTTAGGCACTTTATAGTTAAGTAGAAGGAGTACAGTCTAAAATAGCAATGAAAGTATACTATAGTAAACAGTAACATGATCATTTATTAAGTATTATATACTATACATAATTGTATGTGCTAGGCTTTTATAGGACTGTCAGCACAGATTTGTTTACATAGCATCACCACAAACGTGAGTCATATTATGATGGCTACTCAGTCACTAGGAGATAGGAATTTTTTTTTAGCTCCATTCTAATCTTATGAAACCACTGTCGTATATGAGGTCTGTTCTTGAACAAAAAGTCAGTATGTGGTGCATGACTGTATAAATGTTATATGCATATTATTGTATATATGTTATGTTTCCCAATAAAAAAGAAAGAAGTTTACTATGATGAGCTTAATAGAGAAGAGTAGCTCTTGTGTTACATTTGGATTGTGTATTTATGATGAATTTTTTCTTTTCTCTTTAAGAGGTTCTTTATTTCTTACATATGAAGTTCTGGCACTGAAGAAGGCTCTGGCATTAGATACTCAAGTGGTAGAAAGAGAAAAAATGAAGTCATATATATATGTGCACACAGTTTCTTTAGATAAAGGAGAAAATCATGGTAAGTTTATTGTAAAGTAATCTTTGTGAAAAATGGAAGCTAGTTATTGAAGTTAAAAATGAGTCTATTTAAAACACAGTATTAGTAATGTGGATTCAGCTAATTCTAAGAATCACCAAACCCCATGAAAACCAAGTTCCTAAAGAATTAATTGAGGATCAAATTTTGGACTTCCGTATTTAACCTAGGTTTGCAGCTCTCCTAAAACTAAGTGAAGACTACTGGCATTTTTAGTCTGAACCTGGAATTCCACACCTTAGTGGGACTGTCAATACAGAGGCTGGCTTTCAGTTTGGCAAGTACAAAAAACATGCTTTTGTCATTTAGCTCAGCAATATTTCTGTTTTAAGGGATGTATTCATACAAACCAAACTCATGAGATATATTCATAAATATGAATGCCAACTCATTTATTTATTTATTTATTTATTTTTTTGAGACGGAGTTTCGCTCTTGTTACCCAGGCTGGAGTGCAATGGCGCGATCTCGGCTCACCGCAACCTCTGCCTCCCGGGTTCAGGCAATTCTCCTGCCCCAGCCTCCTGAGTCGCTGGGATTACAGGCACACGCCACCATGCCCAGCTAATTTTTTGTATTTTTAGTAGAGACGGGGTTTCACCATGTTGACCAGGATGGTCTCGATCTCTTGACCTCGTGATCCACCCGCCTCGGCCTCCCACAGTGCTGGGATTACAGGCTTGAGCCACTGCGCCCGGCCCAACTCATTTATTTTAATTATCTGCCACCAAAGCTAGAAAACCTATCTTTACTAGTTAGGACTTTCCACTTCTCAGTATTTAGGTCACATGGAAGCCCTCATTAGTGATCATATGGTTGCGTGGCGAACATGAAATTTTAGAGCAGAGGAGTATATTTTCGTCAAAATATGGGTAGCGTGATGAGTCACACACTTGACTCACAGCTGTCTCTTCCTACACTGTGAGCCAGAATGTGCCAGTTAACATGATGTTCCTTGAGTGGGACAGGCTCTGCTGCTATCCTGTATCTGCCACCACTCTGCCCCGTTGGTATTAGTTATTACATCACTTTCATGTATTGCAACATGCTTTTATGGCATGTTTATAGTTTTAATTCCATAGAAAATTGTTGTTGCTTATAGTATACTTGTGTAGTGAGACCTAATTTCGTTAGTAAAGTATCTCCAAACTTCAGTTTGAGGTGAGCTCATCATGAAGGACATTTTCCTGGATATTGCAAAACCTATGTTGTATATGAAGATTTTTATTAGCTTTAGTTAGAGTTTTTGTTTTTACTTTTCCCTGACTTAGAGAGCAATCTCTTTTTGGAATTGAGAGCTCTACATTTCCATAATGATTTTAGTTGCGTTGATAGTGATAATAAAAAGACAATGATGGTATTTTGTATTTTCTTTGTGAAAAAATTTGGAGTTTATACATTTCTCTTTGAAACATTGGAGCATAGTGTTAAAAATACATTCTAAGTTTTACTTAATTTTATAATCATTTTAGGTATTGCCTGGCAGGCAAGAAAAGAACTTCACAAAGCAGTAAGAAAAGTACTGGCAACGTCAGCCAAGATACTACGGAATCCATTTGCTGGTAAATATCAAATAAATGACTTGGAATCCTTATCAGTAATCTGAAAGTCATTGAAATGACCAATCCGAGACTTTTTTTCATTTCTTATACTAATATTTTTTATAGCTATGGAAAATTAATCAGGCTGGGTGCGGTGGCTCATGCCTGTAATCTCAGCACTTTGGGAGGCTGAGGTGGGTGGATCACCTGAGGTCAGGAGTTTGAGACTAGCCTGGCCAACATGGTAAAACCCCGTCTGTACTAAAAATACAAAAATTAGCCAGGCATGGTGGTAGGTGCCTGTAATCCCAGTTACTCAGGAGGCTGAGGTTGCAGTGAGCCAAGATCGTGCCAGTGCACTCAAGCCTGGGTGGTGGAGTAAGACTGTCTCAATAAAAAAAGAAGAAAAGAAAATTAATTGAGTAACATTCTCTTGGACTGTATTTAATTTTAAGGGCTCCATGCTTTGGACAGTTTTCTTTCTTCCTTAGATAATTGTGAATAAATATGGAGATAAAATATACCCTAGGCTCTTGATGAGTGTTTTATAATTTTAAATTTGTTAGAAAATTGCTCCTATGCCTTCTCATAATGAGCATAGTACATAAAAAAAAATGTAGCTTTCTCAATCCGTTTAATGTACACTGTGGAGCTAGATAGAAAAGAGCTTATCTGATCTTAAAAAGTTGGCATGAAAATAAAAGGCAGGAAAACTTTCTACACTTAAAAGAGACTTTATTAAATCCTGGCTTTAAAAAACAGCTTTAAGGATTTTTTTTTTTTTTTTAATTGGGGAAGCATGATTTGGGAAGATTTTTGTTAGTGTTTTTGGGTGTGATAATAGCATTGCGGTTATTTAAGAGAATGCAGGATTGTTCTTAGGAGATTCAGGTTGAACTGTGAAAGGGTAAAATGTCATTTTGTCTGCATCATCCTTTCAAATAGTTTGGGAAAAATTACATATGAATATAGATGAAGAAAATATGATAAAATAGTAACAGCTGTTGAATCTAGATGTGATATATGGATGTTAATTTATCATTCTTTCTTTCATATATTTGATCTTTTTCAAAAAGTTTTGGGGAGAAAAAGATTTTAAAAATGACCACATATGAAAGACACCAGAATATATAAAACGAAAGCACACATTGAGCCTGGGTGATGTAATGAGACCCTGTCTCTAGGAAAATAAAAGAAAAAGATTAGCTGGGCCTGTTGGTACACACCTGTGGTCCCAGCTACCGAGGAGGCTGAGGTGGGAGGATTGCTTGAGCCCAAGAGGTTGAGGCTGCAGTGAGCCATGATCATGCCACTGCACTCCAGCATGGTTAACAGAGCGAGACTACCTCAAAAAAACAAAGCAAAGCTGAACCCCTCCCCCCCATAAAAAAGCACACATAATATTCATAACTGTAAAAGATAATGTGACAGAATTGAGAACAAATAATATCAGTCTTTATCAATACCTATATACATATGGATTTAACTCTCCAATTGTTGATTTCAGATATTTATAAATTACCATCTTAAAGTGAATATAAAAGTATTATCTTAACTGTTCACATTGTCTTGGTTTCTTTCTCTTTTTGCAAAGATGCTTTTAGTACAGTTGATATAGAAGATCATGAATGTGCTGTGTGGCTGCTCCTACGGAAGAGCAAGTCAGATGACAAAACAGCACGACTGGAGGCTGTGCGGGAAATGTCGGAGACCCATCACTGGCATGGTAATGAGACCACCTGAACAGGTGGCAGTCCATCAGCTGACTCTTGTTTTCGGATGTCAAAGACAAGGGAGTGAGATTCAGGAAGGAAAATAATTCAGGCAATCTTAGTATATATAAAAAGTATTTTAAAAATTTTAAGAAGCTTCAGTGGTACAAAAAGTAGAAAGCCTGCTGACCTGGTAGTCAAATGTGTTCGGTAAGAATAGCCTCAAAAATGAGGTATATACATTTGTGTAACTTTCTACCAGAACAAAGTTATATTTGATTTCATACTTCTTTGAGAGAAACTCTTGATTGTGATAGTTTCCTAATGTACTTGGATTTTCTTTTGGTTTCTATTTAATGAAGTATATTGAATTGCTTGCTACACCATACAATTATATTTGCTTTCAACTTTTTACAATCTCCTTGGCTCTAATACTAAGAGTTAGTCAAATGTACTCAATTTGTATGTGTGTATATCATTTTTAATGGACCATTTGAAATATGTAATTGTTTTTAAAAATCACAAGTTTTACAATAAAAATAGTTTAAAAAGAACTCATATCTGCTCTGATTATAGTACATGGACTAAGCTATAATTTGTTAGTAAAGCTGTCTTGTAAAAATGGGCAAAATAGAAAAAAATAATTTTCTCAGCTGGGCACAGTGGTTCACACCTGTAATCCCAAAGATTTGGGAGGCCAAGGGAGGTGGATCAGTTGAGGCCAGGAGTTCAAGACCGGCCTGGCCAACATGGCAAAACCCCGTCTCTACTAAAAAAAAATACAAAAAAATTAGGCATGGAGGTGTGTGCTTGTAATCCCAGCTACTTGGGAGGCTGAGGCACAAGAATTGCGAACCCAGGAGGTGGAGGCTGTAGTGAACTGACATTGTACCACTGCACTCCAGCATGGACAGCAGAGCAAAACTGTCTCAAAAAAAAAAGGAGAAAAAATTCTCAAAAGTTAAGTCTCAGAATGAGATCTCTGCAAATTAATTTGTTAATTGGTTGGCATCTACAATGATAATTTATAATATAATTATAAGCTCACTTAATGTTGGTGGAGATTTAGAATAGAGATATTTTTCAAAATCTGCCTTCCAGGGCTCCATTCCAGACTTACTGTATCAGAGAAATCAGAGGAAGAGCCCTGGCCTGTAGATTTTGAAAAAGTTCCCCACTTGATCCAGAAATACTCACCGAGGTTATTATTGTTATTTTTTTCGAGACAGAGTCTTGCTTTGTTACCCAGGCTGAAGTGTAGTGGCATAACCTCGGCTTACTGCAACCTCTGTCTTCTGGGTTCAAGCTATTATCCTGCCTCAACCTCCCAGATAGCTGGAATTATAGGTACCCACCACTATGCCTGGCTAATTTTTGTACTTTTAATAGAGACAGGGTTTCACCATGTTGGCCAGGCTGGTCTCGAACTCCTGACCTCAGATGATCCACCTACCTAGGTTTCCCAAAGTGCTGGGATTACAGGCCTGAGCCATGGTGCCTGGCCAACCCCAGGTTATAAGCTGCCATTATTGAAAATAATGTTTGCTTTTGTGGCTGGAATTTTGTTTTTGATATATAAAGAATGGCATGTTAATTCAAAGTACTGCTATCTGGAACTGCAAACTAAATATTCATGGACATTATGAATACCAAAAAACCATATCATCACCATAGGGCAGTAGGCTTAAATGCAACCTCATGTATTTTGAGTAGTGGTCAGAACAGCTTTTGAATGCTGGAATTATTTTAAGAAGAAGTAAAATTGGTTTGACTTACCAATTTTTACCCTGAGCTTCATTTTTTCCAAAAAGTTAGGCTGTGACCCAGTCCCCAGATATATGTTGAGAAGAATTGTGAGATCAGTCCTGGAAATGTATCTAGCTTAGAGGTATTGTAAATGTAGTTGTACTTGGGAAATTTTGGATTACAGATATGCAGAGCAGTTTAAAAATTAGAGTGCTTTCAAGTAGTTTGTTCAGTTAATCTTTATGAAATCTGTAAGCTGGTTTTGGTATTAACAAAAGATATGCTTTTTCAATAGATTACCAGTATAGGATAATTGCTCAGGCCTGTGATCCGAAAACTCTTATTGGTTTGGCACGAAGCAAAGAGAGTGATCTTCGCTTTTTTCTCCTACCACCTCCTTTGCCATGTTTAAAAGAAGTAAGTAAAACAGTAATAATAATTTAGAGAGTGGAAAATGGTTTAATATATTATCTTCATTCTGGCCACAAAATACTTTCAAAAAGTAGTTGTTGGCTGCTTCTCACAAGCAGATAAAGTAGGATGTAAAATTGAAATCATAGTTTTTATAGAAAGATTTGATTCCTCAGGAGGTGCTGTTCCTCCTATATTATATTCTGCTTTTGGTAATTGGGAGTCTCTGTAAAGCGCTGGGTGACTTCATAGCATATCGGCATTCATGAGCTGATTCCTTCTGAGTTTCTGTAGATCAGGTTTTCTCAGCCTCAACACTAGTGACATTTTGGGCCAGATAATTCTTTGTGGTAGGAGGCTGTTGTGTAAATTGTAGGGTGTAGCAGCGTTCCTGGACTCTACTCCGTAGATGTCGGTAGCACCCCCTGGCTGTAACAACCAAAAAACGTCCCCATACATTGCCAGATGTTCCTGGGCAAAATAGCCCCTGGTTGAGAACTGCTGTCATAGATTTAAAGCATGTTTCTTGAGTATCTTTCCTAGACTAAAAAATGAAACTCCTAAAACTCTGTGTTAGCAGTTTTTTGAAAATCTAAAATGAATATATGAGATATTAATTATTAGAGAAAATGAGATAGTAACAAGTTCTCAGTTTAAAAAGCAATAGCTTTAATTAGTAAGGATATGATAATTCATTTTGAGTCAAAATGTCGAGTACGTCAAGATGTCACTCATGAAAACTGAGAGTTAAAATTTATAATAGATCTCTCAGTTTGAAGTAGCAGACATGAAAATATAGAATTCAAAATTAAATGATTATTTACCTGGGTGAGTGACTGTTTTCAAGACTGAAAGCAGTAATTTATCTCTGATATCTCTTTCCCTATATCTCTATATCTATATCATATATATGTATATATATAGAGAGAGAGAGAGCGAGAGAGACACACAATATATGGCTTTGATATACATGGCAAATACTGGCTTTGAGTCTTTGGATATTTTTTGTTGTACTCAGTTGTTGAGTATTTATGAAGAATTTCCTTTTCTTTTATTTCAGGATTCCACTGAAGAAGAGCTCAGACAGTTGCTGGCTTCCTTACCTCAAACAGAGCTAGATGAGTGTATCCAGTATTTTACATCTTTGGCTCTTAGTGAAAGCAGTCAGAGTCTGGCTGCTCAGAAGGTTAGCTCATTTATTCATTCAGTAAATATTTTTGAGTGTCCACTCTTCCCAATGTATTGTTTCAGGGGCTAGCATTTACCCAGTAACTGAGTAAACGCTCCACTAGTAACTTCTGGTTGTGCGGCATGCCCTGGGCTGGATTTCAGGGATGACAGGGAGGCAGGTAAGTAAACAGTCACAGAATGTGTTAGAGAGTTACAGGTAACTTCAGGAGCCCTTCACTCTGCTTACGAGGTCATTTGCAGCTTCACAGGAGGTAACTCTTAAATTGTATCTTAGTGAATAGAACTGAGCGCAGTGGCTCACAACTGTAATCCCAGTGCTTTGTGAGGCTGAGGCAGGAGGATTGCCTGAGGCCAGGAGTTTGAGACCAGCTTGGGCAACACAGTGAGATCCCTGTCTCTATAAAACATTAAAATAAAAAATTAACTGGATGTGGTAGCGCGTGCCTGTAGTCCCAGCTGTTTGAGAGGCTGAGATGGGAGGATTACTTGAGCCCAGGAGATTGAGGCTTTAGTGAGCTGTGATTGTGCCATTCCAGCCTGGGCAACAGAATGAGACCCTGTCTCAAAAAAAAAAAGAAAAAAAGGCTATCAGTAAATACTGAATTATGGTATTCTTGGTGTGTCATGTCAGCAAGTTTTTATCTTTATAAAAATCTAATATCTCGCCGGGCGCGGTGGCTCAAGCCTGTAATCCCAGCACTTTGGGAGGCCGAGGCGGGTGGATCACGAGGTCAAGAGATCGAGACCATCCTGGTCAACACGGTGA